TGCTAATTCCCGTATAGTTTTGCATCTGACCTGCTCTTACACTTGCATTCAACGTTTCAAAACTACAGGTCGTATATTTTCCGTGTACGAAAAACCACACATCTCTCTTCGGTTATAAAGGGCGGCCAAAAGGGTTCATAAAATTAAGCAGTGGATTTGATCCCTATTGTTAACTTTACAAGCCACATTGGTAAATGCAGAGATATGACGATTTACGGACGACCATTTCACGGTATTTTAAAGTCCCACAATTAGAAACTTTTTAAAACCGAATTATACTCTTCTTTTGAATACAAAATCAGAAGAAGAGGTGATTTTCTACTAAATAAGTGAAAGAATGGATACTTTTTTGCATGTCATTTATGAAATATAACTGCATTTTCAAGGGCATTGAAAATCAATGAAGAAAATTGCATGCTACTTAAGTAGCCTTTTTGCAGCGTATAGTTCTTGCATGCAGTCGAAAATAAGTTCATTCGAAAGCCGACACCCTGAGGTAACAGGATCATTATAAAACTATGCTGCAAGATGATCAGTTTTTAATCCTACTTAATTAATCTTTTCGAAACGAGAACGCATTTCGAAAGTTCGATTGCTTTTTCATGAATTAGCCCACGTACTGTATAGTTGCAATGCCGGTATTTATTCACTTTCTGTGAAACTGTCACTATCGTGAGGATAACCGACGTGGCCGGCTCACATTTGCCTAGACATCACGGAATCAATAAGGACTCCACGGAAACGCTTGCAAAGTATCCGCAGAAATAGTAGATGAAATATTAGGAGGAGAAAACGACGAGTAAGAAAAAAACTCGATACAAGTAAGTAATTCTACGATTTACCCAGCCCTATTATAAGCCAACAGTGCTAGCTCCACCGCGGCAACCGAAGACATTTACAGCGAGCCCCACGTAGTTGATGCAACACTGGTGGTTTTTTGCGTGTGAATCAAGTTACGCTGGGTCCGACTTGCGCTTTATCTACATCACTCTCTCCTCCTTCATCCAGTTTGCTCCGAGATGACCGGAGGTGGGCAAGACCAAGCAGTCCGTCTGCGCGGGCCACAAACGTACTGCTCACAAACTGAGACATGTAACAGACTACCGTCGCAACGAATCGGGTCTCTCATGGCTGGCAGTGCCATAGAGGCCACGTAAAAAATGACCCATTACAGTCATGAGGGCCTAGCAATCCCCAAATCAGCGAAATTCCCAGCCATGACTCTTAGCGCGTCGTTATAAATGCAGGCCTGTCAGATTTATTATGAAGAAGGTGCCGATGTGTCGTGAGCATGGATTCCCGAGCGCCGACCAGTAGTGCAAGCGCACGCTCGGGACATTTGGGTGCCTTGAAGTGCTAGAAATACAAATATCAGACTTGGATTTGTCAACTGCAATGGAATTAGCACACTGTGATGGCCCCCGCCGACTTACGCATTTGGAAACACATTCCCTTCGCCTTCCCTGGCCACGATCCAGTAACACTGTCAACCGACATTCTGTCGCTGCAGGTTGCACACGAAGGTAGCACAAAGGGTCCCCTCGGGTTCCCAGCATGTTACTCGATGGTACCCACGCCGAAAAAAGCCTTTTGATTTAATGCGACCGATGAGAGTTAAGTTTTCAAAAAGGCGCTTTGCTTAATCAGCCGAGATTTCACCATAACTATAACGAGAACGAACCGAAGCAGAGGAATCACGCAGTCAACGTCGTGGTTAGTTCAGCAGTGTGTGCGAGATGCGCCATCTACGCGTGTTCGCGGCAACCGAGTAACTGGAGTTCATACTCCAAAGTCATCGATGTTGAGAAGACAAATAGTCTACCCTCTTCTGGCTGCTCCTCTCTGTGGTGGGTGCCGAGGCGTGGCAACTGCGCATCAAGAGCTACAG